CTTTTGTTATATATCGTAGAGCTTATTTTTGAAACAAAATCAATAATCCTAAAACTTTACATTATTAATAATATTATTATAATGTTTTAATTTTGTATTATTTAAATGGCCAAATTCTGACGGAAGAAAGTTGTTTTAAGATAAAGTCATTTGGTGGCAGGGCTTTTAGCTGCAGCACCACAGTTATGGAATTCCCTGTAGTTAGATATTCGTCAGGTGGACTCTATCTCCAATTTTAAATCCCAGGTTAAAAGCTTTCTGTTCAGGATTGCTTTTAATGACTTTCTGGATTAATATTATGTTTATTACTCTTCTGTCAACTGTAAGGTCTCCTTGAGTGCTCTGAAAGGCGCCTATAAATAAAAGGTATTATTATTATTATTATTATTTATGAAAGTTGTGTTTGCCAGTTTGTTTGCATAATAAATGACAATAGGCAATTATGACAATTATCCTAAAATGTTTAGGATTTTTTATTTTTGTACATCAAAGTGTATGGTTATGATGACCACCCATCAAGCTAATTCAGCTAAAAAAATAGTGCTTAAAATGTCATACTAAAAGTACCATACCGTACTGTACCACTCAGTGTAAACAAGGCATTATGCATTATATAAATGCATTGTATATATGCATTATATAAACACACATAATCATAAAATTCATTATTTAAAAAGTAAATGCAAAAAAATCCACTTTTTGAGAAAAAACGAACCACCCCTTATGGTCTACGGGCCTGCTAAACTGTAAAAAATGCTGGGTTCCACAAAAATAAAAATGATTGGATTAAAGATAATGAATGTATTGAACATAAAACAATTAAGTTGCCCTCAAAAATCTCAACAATAGTGTTGTTTCAGCTTGTTTTTAACAAGTAGATTAAACAAGCAGCAGAAGTATTTTATTGAGTGTCAATAAAAATTAGCAAATTATACAAATAAACAAACAAACAAAAAAACATGCTTGATTGTGTAATGCAGCATTTTTATAACATATTGTCAGCATTGTGATAAGTTAACACAATCATCCTCCACAGTGGATTAGAACTCCTCTTCCACACCTTCATATTGTCCTAAACCAAATGAATTAAGCCGTTTAAACAAACAGCAAATCCTCTTTTTTCAAGTGTGGCAGGCTGTTTTAGCATTTAATCCATAAACACATGTACTGTGTCTTTTTCCATGCTACTAATTTATTTGACTTATCTAGTATTTTTTCTTTTTTCAAAAAGTCCTAGTTATTTATTTGTTAATTTATTTAATATTTAAGTGCTTATATGTACCATTAATATGGTAAAACTTAGTACTTATTAGATAATGGCACTTTTTAGATACCTATTCTTTAGATATTAATACTTATTTCATTAGTGACTAGTAACTATTCTTATTAGTAACAAATCTCGGTTTTTAAGGACATCATTAACATAGCAGCTATTTTATTTTGAATAGTGCATATTCCACACAATAGCAATTATTCATTAGTTTCTAGTACTTATTATTGTATATACACACCAATTAAATAGATACTATTGTTCTTATTAGAATGTTTTACATTAGATACCTTTTTATTGTGCTTATTATAAAAATTATTTATTTTCAATAATTCATTCATTTTCTTTTCGGCTTAGCACCTTTATTAATCAGAGGTAGCCACAGCGGAATGAACCGCCAACTTGATGCCCTTCCAGCTGCAACCCAATACTGGGAAACACCCATACGCTCTTGCATTCACGCACATACACTGCGACCAACTTAGCTTATTCAATTCACCAATATGCATGTCTTTGGACTGTGGGGGAAACCGAAGCATCCAGAGGAAACCCACACCAACATGGGAAGAACATGCAAACTCTACACAGAAATATCAACTGACCCAGCCGGTTCTCGAACCAGCGATCTTCTTGCTATGAGGTGACAATGCTAACCACTGAGCCACTATATTGTTAATTAATTTATTTAATATAATTTATTAGTTATAACTTTTTTAATGCTTTTTAGTTATAACGGTAACACTTCAAGTACACACTATGAATCATCTATTACGCATTAGCATATAATGAACTCATTATTTGTTAAGTATTAACTCTACATTAATTGACGTTAGTAAGCAGTTTATAACTGCAAATACAAATGCTCCATTCTTGACTTGTGAGGACATTTGCAATGTGTTTAATAATTGTACTTTTATACTTTGTTGCTGATTAATTTTGCACTACTAAATTAAGTATTGCATTATTTACAAATCACTTGTATTTAAGAGTAGTCAGTGCTTTTGAGATCATTCAGAATGGGTTAGTCAATAATTAATTAACTATTTATAATCAACATATTTTTTATTATTATACAGGCATACACTAATAGTTCATTGTTTCTGTTAATAAATGTTTTAGTAACTCAGCTTCATCCAGTTTGTGACCTATAGTGAGGACTATTTATGTTTTATAAATCATCAATAAATGACAATTAAAGACGCAGTATCAAATGAACAATAAATCTTGATAATAAAAATAAAATTACTGTGAAGTTTAAACATTGTTGAATAACAGGAGTGTAAAAAATATACCATAAAATTGGATAAAACAACAACAATAATTTAACAACATAATATGATGTAACATTTCAGTTATTTAGTGAAGGTTATATTGCACAGTAAAGTTATTTAAGATAAGGTTGCAAATATTTATTTTTATTTGATACAGTTTCATTTGTGTATCTTCAAATGAATAAATGAATGAAGTCTTTTAGTTTCTTTTTTCTGTTTAGAATATAACCTAGCCTTAATTTGCCATTTAAAAGAGTTTTATAAAGCTTAAATAGTCCTCACTTTAGCTTAGGTCACAAAACTGGATGAAGTTGTGTTAATAAAGCATTTATGTACGCCTGAATAATATATATATATATATATATATATATATATATATATATATATATATATATATTAATTTAAATAGTTTATTAATCATTTACTAATTCATTCTGAATAATCTTTAAAAAAAACAGCAACTTCTCTCAAATAACTGGTTTGTAAATGATAGTTTAATTTAGTCATGAAAAAATAATAACTTCTGTAAAGTATGAAAACACAATTATTAAGCACATTAGCTGTACTTGTAAGTCAAGAAAAGAGCATTTGTATCTGCAGTTATAAACTGCTTACTAACATCTATTAATGTAGAGTTAATGCTTAACAGATGGTGAATTCATTATTTGCTAATTCTTCGTAAATGATTAATAGTGTGCAGTTATTATAAAGTGTTACCGTATAACAAGTACTAAATTAGTACCATTCTCTGCTTAACAGGTACAAGTTCTAGTATATAATGAATAGGAACTTGTATTTAATGAATAAATTGTAGTATGCCATAAACTTTGAGTTACTTAAAAAAGTGCATGGTTAATCCACAAATTCAACATGATTTTGCTACAGTGACCATAGTTTGACCGTGATATTTGTTTTAAAATTATTTTTAAAACATTAATTATTGCACCAAGAGCCAGTTGATTATTTTCAGAGCTATGAAATAATATGTTTGATTATCTTTCACATTTGATTTGTTATCTTATTAGAAATGACTGCTCAGTTAAAAGGGTTAACAATACCCTAAAATATATCCCAACTAAAGATTTTTATAGCACCTTCCCAGTTATGGGTCCACAACAATACATTGGGTTATGAAATTAACTTTACATATAAAACCCAAAAAATGTAAAAAAAAAATAACCCAACAAAGCACCATTTACTGTAAAAAAAAAATTGCAGGGTTCCACAAAATTTATTCATGTTGTCCCAACACAAATCGAAAAAAGTTAACAAAAAAAAAAATAAATAAAAAAAAAAAAAAATATATATATATATATTGAGTGTTTAACCAAAGTGGTTGAGTAATTAATAAATTACACAATAATAGGTTAAGAATAACCCAATAGCACCAAATATTTTAAACTGAACCATTGGGTTAAATAAATAACTTTTTTTATTTTAACAATTTTTAACAATACGTCTTATTCTCTCATGTCTTGTGAACGGACTATTGATTGTTTTATTGTGCCGTTAGTCTTCAGAGATATGCTATATAAACAAAGTGGATATCCATATTTGTTTTGAGAGAAAAGACTAACTTTGACACTTCCAATAATTATGTATGCAAATTGGAGCACTGTAAGAAATGCTGGATTCCACACAATTCCTTCATGTTTTCCCAACACAAATGGATTGAGTTAACTTCATTGTTCTTACAAATTTAAGTTGATTGAACCTAAAACAATTAAGTTGTTCCAGAAACGTAAGAATTGTGTGATTTCAACTCATTTATATAAGTAGTTTAAACAAACAGCAAAAGTAATTTTTGAGTGAGGTGTATTCTTTTATATTAAGCAAGATATACATTTTTATTCCACTCTGTATGGCCTAGTCATTGTTAAATGTAAAGTAGCATTGGCTGTAGGCTTAAAATAACATAAATGAGTTCCAGGACACGGTGGCTCAATGGTTAGCACCATTTCCATTTTCCCCCACAGTCCAAAGACATGCTCTTGTGAATTAAATAAACTAAATTGGCCGTAGTGTATGTGTGTGAATGTGTGTGAATGTGTGTGTATGGATGTTTCCCAGTACTTAGTTGCAGCTGGAAGGTCATCCCCTGAGTAAAACATGCTGAATAAGTTGGTGGTTCATTCCGCTGTGGCGACTTCTGACGAATAAAGGGACTAAGCCAAAGGAATGAGTTCTAGATGTGAATGTGTCAACGAATAAGTACTAGAAGAACATAGTGGAAAAATATTAGCAGGTAATAAAATTAGTTGTAGATTTATTTAAATAATAACATCACAGCTTGCCATACTTGCGGTAATGTAGCTATGTATGCTTACAGTACTCGTTGCAAACTGTCCAGCAGAGGACGCTTTTCCCCAAACTGCGCTCATTCATCCCGGCGAAAGTCCAGCAGGCTGCAGCAGAGCTCAGGTTACTGGAGGGCGGAGGAATAATAACCTACTCTCTACTGTCTGCCCCAACTCTCCAGCGGGACAGAAAGCCTGAAGCCCACATTCACAGCCTGTTACTGCCAGAGGACACATCTCTCCGTTTTCACTCTCGTTACTACAAACAATGTGAGGAACATGGCTGACAGAAGGTAAGAGTTGTGGATAAACGTTCAATTCAGCTCTGAGTCGCGAGAGGAGCTTTAAACATCAAACTATGTTTGTTGGTTGTTACGAGGGTCCTGGTGTCACATTATTAGGATGTTTTGATGAAATGCAATGCAGGTGATACTGTTGTGTTTATGAAGTGCTGTGGACGGGTTGTGATGTTCGCACAAATGTTTGCACGGTCAAAGTTCACTGAAAGCTGGTTGTGAAGTTGCTGTCCGATTTTAAAGTGGATTGTTTGATTTATTTGATTGATAAACTAACTTAAGATCTGTAAGTCTTTTGTTTAGTCATTAACAAGTAAATAATAACTTGACAAATGCACAACTGACAGCATCCCTGGCATTTTAAAAAATCAAAAATTAAAATGTACTTATTTTAAACTATGATTTTTTTCTGTTAAATTTTCATTTTATTTTTTAATATTTTATTAAACTTGTCAATTGTCAACCCTGTTATGCCATTATCTTATTAAAATGATTTACATATTAAGTGTATAAAAATTAAACTTGATTGCGCAATGTTGTTTTAAAATGCTATAATCATCAACTCTATAATGACAGAATCTTATTAAATAAGTTAAACAAGTTACTATAACTCAATATTAAGTAAGTCTACATACAAAAATATAAGTAAAACATAATTCTTTTAGAGAATCTGCTTTAATTATTTTTGTTATTTTATATAGTCTGAAAAAAAACCTGAATTTGTGTAGAAATGTCAGCATAAAGCTGCATATTATCAACATAATCCACACTTTGTACTCTTGTGACATTGAGCAAGATGCTGTAATTGTGATAAATTAGCTTTATAACTGCTAAACCACCTTCCACCTTGTTTTGTAAACCATATTAAAATGTATATATCACATCCAAAAATAAAAAAACAAATATTGAACAAAACCATATCGAAATCCAAACTGTAGTTCAGGTCAACATTTATGGCTGCAGGATAGCTAAAATTTAAACACCTGTATACATATTATAATTATATGATAATAATAGATATATACTAGATAATAATAATAATACAATAATAGATATCTATATGATCAAAAATGCCTCTGTATTATGATTAATATATATATTAGATCAGATGTGTAGAGCATCGATAGATTGATTAGGGGGCAGATTGATGAACAGATGTGACGCGGCTGTTGTAGGCTGGTCCAGTGTCGTTTTCCAGGTGTCGGCTTTTATGGAGTTAATAGGATGGATTTTGACATGTTTTATTAATCATGTTGCAATGCCATATCCTCGGTAGACCTCCTCTGAAGCCAGGACAAACACTGACAGCTTTTCTGAACTATTGAAATATTCACAAAGCCATATGGATGGAGTTACTGTTAGACCCGAGACTGAACGTCTGATAATGCGACCCAATTTGCTCACACAATTCGTGGTCCATGGATTTATTATGTATTAATGAGCAAATGAAGATAAAGAATAGTTGTTAATGTTTTTGTAACTTTTTTTTGTGTAATTTTCTATGGAGCTGGCTTAAATGTGTTTGCATAAGACATGTTTTGTGGTTTAAAAAAAAGTGATTAATCACTAATTCATTAGCAAGTTATTTAGTTAATCAATTATTCACCCAATAATTGAAGTCTTTTTACTGATGTGAAATGGAAGTCGAAAGGTAAATTCTAAAACAACATACAGTACATTACCCCTTCTGTTTGTCAGTAAATTTCGCTCTCATTTTCTTCTTAACCTAAAGGTTTGTCTTTGTTTTGTAAAACACAAAAGAAAAGAATTTGAAGAATTTCCAAGCTGCTTTTTCCCAAGCATTTAAAACAACAAAATGAATTAAATAACTTCTCAATTCAACTTCATTCGTCACCTTAGAATGATACAATTCTTCTATTTATTCATATAGTCTGTGTACATTGTGGGAATTTATTTTCTTTTCCTGTTTTTTTTTTCTTAAGAAAACTTGCGATATAGAATGCAAAAAGCATAAAGCTTAAAACTATTCATAATATAAAAAAGTCTAATAATTCTAAGGTGATGATTAACTCAAAATCGTCTGACTATGTGTGCAGCAAATGAATTAAATTGAATCAATGAAGTCATGTTTACATAGCTTTTATACAACCAGGAAAGCAGGTATAACAATATATCGTTTCAGCATCGATATTGCAATGTGCACATGCGCAATAGTCACATCGCAGGATCTGCAGTGTTGGGTCTGGATTATAGTTGAGCAGGATTTAAAAACACACCTGATTGTTGTGTAATTGCAAAGTTTAACCATAAAGTCACCAAAAAAATTATCATTTGCATGTGTTTTAAGGCCTGTGACTGTATAAGCATTTCAAGCGAGTTTAGTAACAAGTTTAGTAACTTCAAAAAAGATTATTACAGTATATATATATATATATGCCACGGTTCTCAATATAATATTGAACCGTTCGGTACGACCTCCACGGTTCAATACGCGCTTGTGAATTGCGGTTTTCTCGGTTTTGCGTTTAAATTATTTATGTGCGTTTTATATCTCCCCTAATTAACTGTGTGTGACTGTCCAAGAGGTGCGATGAGGAAACTCCTCCCCGCGAGTAAATATCCAATCACTATGCTGTAAAGTTAGGGGGCACTTGACCATCATTCCACACTTTAATATTGCGAGCGGCGGTGAAGTGAGGCTGAGGCAACAGTACAATGAAGTGCCGGCGAAGTGAGGCAACAGTACGAGAAAGCGCTGGCGTCTTTCAAATCTGCGGTGTGAGGACATTTCGGTTTTGCCAGTAAGTCTAATGCCAATAAAAAAAATGGTGAACAAAAAATTACTATGTGTGTGCAAGGATTGTTTTACACGCATAACCATGACTGCACATCTGCAGCGCCATCACCCAGCAATATCACTGTCTAAAGGCAGGATAGCAGAGAAGGTAATAAAGTCCTCCAAATAGCAACAATCCCTCCCTGAATCTTTCAATCAAACATACCCAACTGGTTCCGAGAGACACATAAAATAACAAAGGCAGTGCGGGTGTTTATTGCTAAAGATTTGCAGCCGTTTTCGGTGATTGGAGATGCAGACTTTTGTCATCTTATAAAAGCACTCGATCCGTGTTACATACTTCAGTCTCGCATTTTTTCAGCACCGAGATAATTAAGATGTTTCATTTATGTTTACTTAAGTACAAATTTGTTTATTTGTAATTGCCAATTTCTCTTTATTAACTTCACATGTATGTTTATTTTCAAAATGTAGGATTTTATGTGTTCCCCAGTTTGTACATGGGCTACCAGCAGCTGTGAGATCTCAGTGTTAATTTTTTCTTATACAATACACTAGGAACTAGTGTACTTTTCTTGGCTTTTAGGTAAAACAAAATGAGTATTGCAATAAATCGTTTTTTTTTCTCTCTCCTTAACCCCTTACTGTTCCTATTGCCTACTGAAAAAAAAAACGGGTCAAGCCATGAGAACCGAAAACCGTATTAAAAAACTGAGATATGTGTTGAACCGTGGGCTAACTGTATTGTTTCAGCCCTAATATACAGTATTAATATATATATATATATATATATATATATATATATATATATATATAATACTGTTATGTAATATAGTGTATATGTGCACCAGTTTAAAGTTCCAAGCTTGTACACTATACGTACGCACGCTCACTGGATCAAAGGCTTATTTTAACTATGGCTAAGGAGGAATTTAATGCCATTCACATATCCCATCTTTTACATGCACAAGTTTGTTATATCCAATGGAGGCACATGGTTTGAGCGCATAATAGTGCCTTTCAGACAGAGGTTCAGCAGTCTTTGACTACATTTGTTTTTATTTAAAAGTGAAATACTTAGCTAATATGATGCTTAAATTTACATTAGACAAAAACGATTTATTTATTTATTTTTCATTATTCTGTTGTTCATTTTCAATGTTAAATTGTTATGTTTAAATACCATATTGTTATGTTCAAATGCCAAATACATTTTTCATTTATTTTTAAGTCCAAAGAGAAATGGATTTTATTTATTTATTTTATTATTTTGTGCTGTTTTAAGTGGTTACTTAAGTGGTATTTAAGTGGTTTTAAGCGATAATTAAAACTTTAAAATATAAGAAGTTTTCATGTCATTTTGTAAATTAGTAGTATTTCGAAATGAAAGAACACATAATAATCGTGATAACCAGGATTACTCCTCAGACTTTAATCGTACAACCAAAATCTATTATCGTTGCATCACTGATCACCATTTACACAACAGCAGCTTGATGACGCAAGGGTTCAGAAGGAAAAAACACAGTGTAAACACAAACCGACCGAGAAGGGAGCAAGAGGAGATGATTGAACTTGGGTACGGGCTAGGCCAGAGCCATTTAATTGGCAATTGAATTTACATTAGACGTGATAACCATGAAACCATGATTATTCTTCAGACTATAATTGTCAACCAGAATCTATAATTGTACAATATTTGAATGTAGAAAAAGCCAACGTGGGTGTCTTTATGAGCACAAATACAGCATATGGGCTCTTATATGCAGTTATGTCATCACTTATATAGCAAGTTATATATCTCCGACCCTTCGCTTGGGATGCTTTTCATGAACCGGCCCCCATGACAGACTAATTGAATAGCCCTGGTCTAGATAATTGAATCAAGTGTGAAAGCACCCTCAAGCTGCAGTCACAATAGAGTTTGAGCTTGCAAAATTCTGTAGTACGACACTGAGAAAAAAGGCTGGATTACACAAAATGATTAGACATTTAAAAAAGCGAGTGATTGGTCCATATTTTACATTTCTGTCCAGAGAGGTCATGTTTTCGATTGGTCTCATGCAGTCAAGTGATGCGATTTAGCAGGTCAGAGTTCACCAAGCTTAAACTTTGCAATGCAGCCAACTGCAAAATTTGTCGCACAAGCTTGCATTTCCGGTCTGACGTATTTGCATGCGTATGAATGAAAGTCTATGGGGAAAAAAGGCCAGTGAGGACATGGAAAATGTGCAGTGTT